TGCGAAGAACAGGGCTAACCAGGCCTGATTCCCAGATTCTCACGAAATTGTTCATGAGCTCAGTTTGTGTCTGAATAGTGTTAGAAAGCTGTTAATTTGGCTGGCACATATCCAGAGTAAAGGTCGGTGGAGCTAAGGAACTAAGAACTGTGTTACAAGGAGCTCAGTCACACTCTGTGTCTCCAGCATGGATGACCTGTAGGACAGTATGCCTGTGAGTACTCACAAAAATCTCATCTGACAGGAAATGGAGATGTTACCTTGCCTCAATATCACTGCGTCTTGAAAACATTTGAATTGTTCCTTTGGTCTTTTTTCTGCTTTTGGCTGATATTTATACAATTTAAATTTACTATAGGGTTCTTAAGGAGTATGCAAAAATGGTGGCTTTTCAGTTTGTGCTTAGTGGAACCTAGCACCTTTGATGATGTGTCAGAGATCATTTTAGGACTCAACTATAGTTGGTGAAATTTTAGCAGGAAGTCTCTGTGTGGCTTTCCCTTCAACAAGAGCAGCTAGGATATACTTCGCTCTGTGTGTAAATATGCATGTGCAAGGTGAGGGGAGGGAGGAGTTAAGGGGGTATTCTTTGAAAAAAAGATGGTTTTACAATGTCAGAAATACTTAAAAATACGAATGCTTATGTTTCTCTAAAATTCATGTGTTGACTCCCAAGCCTCAATACAAGGATACTAAAGCATGAAGACTTTAGAAAGTAATAAGGTCATGACAGTTGGATCATTGTAAATGAGATAAGTGCCATTTGTAGAAGCAGATAAGAGGATGAAATGAAAAGACAGCCACCTAAAACTCTGAAAACAAGCGCTTCCCAGAAAATGAATCATTTGGGAACCTTACTCTGGACATCCCACTTTCCAGAACTGTGAGAAATAAATCCTTGTTTAAGCCACGAAATCTATAGATATTTTTTACAGCAGCCTGAAGAGATGTGACTTTCAAAATAATCATACTAGGTTAATAAAGACAGTAAAGTCACTTTTCAAAGTACTTATATTTACTTCTCTTTAGAGGCTCAAATATCTAATATATTATCTCATGAGCTACTGGTAGATAGAAAATAGAAGAAACATTTCTTTTAGTCTAGAGATATGATCAAGGCTTAAACATCTCTCTAAACATTTTCTTTGTTTAAAAAGGTAGCTATAATATCCTGAGGGAATTGTCCATCTGTCTGTCTACATATGTATGTATGTATGTATCTATCTATCTATCTATCTATCTATCTATCTATCTATCCATTCAACTAACTACTCAGAAATCAGAAAATGTTAACTCTATAAGTATGTGTTAAAAATCCTTTGTGCAACAAAAGGTAAAAATAGATTGAATAAAAAACAATAAAAATAGAAATTATTAGTTATTCTGAGGAAAAGCAGTAGGACGTGAGAAAAAAGAATTGCTTAAATTTGCAAGGTGGGAAGAATGACAGTCAGTCAATAAAACCAAAATCAAAATCAGTTGTCACAGGACTGGAGAGTGGAATGAAGCAAAGAGAGACTAGAAATAGCTGAAAGATCTGGCAAGGGCTCACCTGGAGCCTTCAAAGCTGAAGCAGATGATGGGCTGCAGAGACAGGCAGTCACTTACCCCTCAAGGGGACTCTTGGTGGATTCCTTTGCCTCCACAGGCAACAAGAAGCCAAAAAATGGAAAACTGGCAGGTGGCAAGAAGTCCATACTAAATTGATGAGCCGGTTAAACAGTAGAAAGGGTATATATAAAATAATGTTCTGTCAGGGGTGGAAATGTACTAAAATGCTGAAAATTGCTGCCACCTCCTGGGCACTGTTTTTGCAACTGCATGTTGCCATGGTCACTTTTATTCTATAAAATAGACATTTCCATTAAGTAGAATCATGGGGGGGAAAAACAGGGCTAGTTTTGCTGTGCTTGAAGACCCTGCTGATATTAAGGGAGAAATGAATGTCTTCTAAGATCAGGTAATAGAGTTCGGCTATTTTGTACCAGAGCTAGTCTGGAACACAGTAATATCTTGTTCATTAGAGAAAAAAAAAAGCAGACCGCAGGTAGAGGGAGATTTTTAAAAGATGTCCAGCTAAAGATAGGTTGGAAGGATAATGTAAATAATATTGAAATAAACATTCTTGATGAAACATTTGAAATTAGGTTGGCTAGATAAAAAGTCTAACAGCTAAGAAAAACCGAAAACCTGCTATAGTTAGTTGCTTCTGGAAACCTCTTGGAACATTTTGCTATAAAAGAAAAAAAAGTAACCAGCACAATAAAACTACATGTAATTAAATATTCATGCTTTTGCTTACACTATTTTTTCAAACTTGTCTATTAAAAATCATCTCCTACACCAAGTTACACAATATATGTTTCATCAAAATTCAGAATACAGAAGCTTCTATTTTCTTGGCAAAGGAAGGCTTACTTTTTCTATCTAATTGAAGGACCCACATGAGAAAGTGAATAGTTTGAAATAAACCAGAAAAGACATTTCTCCAAGAGAACACAACTGGCTATGTAGCAAAGGACTGAGAGCTAACCAAACGACCAAGAAGCAGTTTTTTAAATGTATATGCTGGTAATAATGTAGAAAGAATTCTGCCACTTTTTTCTTCTATGTTTTCTGATTGTTAAATGTTAGTATTAAATATCCAAACACATCCACATGTGTGCTTGCATACATGCGTGTGCATGTGCACACACACATCCCCCAAATCATTTCATTTCATCTTTGTTCAGCCTTATGTAGTAAATTAAATTTTCTTGATTCAAAAGAAATGTGAATTATGAACTTGTATCTCGTCACCTTTCATCCTTTCTCTTCTGTTAGGCACACTATTGCCAATGCAAGCTCATGGTTCGACCACTTCTGTAGCTCTTAGAGAAATGTGTCTCCTGGAATAAGAAAGAAAGATAATTTTTCCATATAGTCTTATTTTAAAAATTGGAGAAATCTTAAATAAAATGGTGGGAAATACAGTTTAACTTTCCTTTTATGCTCAGTGCTAATTTTGTTGCTTCCAAGAATGTAAATATTTTAAAAGTAAATCTACTGCTCATAATGAACTTTAAAGCAATTATTTATACATGTAGGGATCTTTAGTGTGAATGCTCTAAGGAAAGGTAAACTGAAAGGAAAGTTTATCTTCTTTAGGTTTCTCTGTACAGACTATTTTTACAAACTGTTGATTCTTTGTAATGGTTAAAAAATCATGAGTGTACACATTTATATCCCAATGAAATGGTTTATAAACAGATAAGATTATGCAAATAACTGTTGTGAAAATTCTTCCAGTCAATTATTCATACCATTTGTAAGATAATTATCTTAATGTTGCAAGCTTTATGATTTCATGAATGAGGATGGGAGTTCGGACCTCTCTTTAGTACACTAGTTCATATATCCTCTATATACTTGGAAGCAGGATTGTTAGGTCTTATGGTAGTTTCATTTTTAACTTTTTGTGGAACCATCATATAGTTTTTCATGATAGGCTGCACCAATTTGTATTCTCACTAACACTGTACAAAGGTTCTCTCTTTTCCCCATCCTTGTCAATGCCTATTTGGTAAAAATAGTTCTGACAAGTAGGCAGATAGCCCATTGTGGCTTTAAATTGCATTTTCCTGTTGATAAGCAGTAGTCAATGCTTTTCATAGAGCTTTAGGTCATTTGTACATCTTTTGAGAAATTTCCACCAATTTTGATGTTTTTTCAAACAGATGATTTGATTTTTTGCTACTGTGTTATTGACTATCCCTTATATATTTGAAATACTCACCTATTATCAGATACATTTTCTACAAACATTTTTCTCTTACTTTATGAGTTGTTTCTTCACTCTGTTTCCTTTATTGTTCAGAAGTCTGGTTCAATTCTTTTCATCTATTTCTGATTTTTTTTTCCTGTGGTTTTGGTGTCATGAAAATAGAAAAATAATCATTGTTCAGATCAATGTCAAGAAGTCTTTGCTCCTATATTTTCTGTTAGTTTGGTCTTTAGCTTAAGTTTTAAGTTTCATTACTGTAGCCATCATAAGGAGACAACCAAGTATTACACTGGCAGATGAATGGACAACAATGGTACAATATAGGATACATATACCCATTGCATATAGAATAGAATATTATTCAGCCATAAATGGAGGAAATTGTGGTTTTTTTTTACAATACCAACGAACCTAGAAAATAGTAGGCTAAGAGAAATGCAATAGACATAGAAAGACAATTACTGAATGATCTCACTGAAATGTGGAATCTAAAACAAATTTATATAAGCAGAAAGTACAGTGGTAATTACTCATGTCTGGGGAATGGGCATTAGGAAGGTAGTGAGTCAAAGTGTACATAGTTTCAGTTAGAGAAGATGAATATGTTCCAGAGTTCCAATGTATACTATGATAACAGTAGCTAATAATATATTATTGTATACTTAAAATTTCTATAATAATAGATCTTAAGTGTTCTTTAAATGCACACAAAATTTAATAAAGTGAGATATATTAGTTTCATTGTGGTAATCATTTTACATATCTATATCAAAATATCACATTGTGCAAATTAAATGTATTCAATTTTTATTTATCAATTATACCACAATAAGCATATGAAAAAGAGTGAGAATGCATTATGTCCAAGATTTGTATTCAATGACTTTTTAGACTGTGAGAAAGGCATAAAAGATATTATTTGCTATATTAGGTTCAGGTTGCAACAGCAGACTCCTGAGTGAGTCTGGTTAGGTCATGGAGGAGTGACCTTGGGGAGGCTACAGTTGCTAGCTCATTCTGTGGCACTGTGTTCCTTGCTCTGTTCTCTATCCCCACGAACTAAGCCAGTTGGCTCTGATAGGTCTTTCAGCTACTATGTTTCTGCTTTGAAACTAGCTGGCCATGTGCTGAATCTCCTGAAACAACAAACTAAATTAAACCTTTTGTCTTCTAAATGGTGTATGTTGGATATTGTGTCTCAGCATGGGAAAAGCTGACTAACACACTATGATTCCAGGGAAACTGAAGGCACCAAACATAATGATGGACTCCAGTTGGGTAGACTGTGACTGAAGAAGACAATGACTTTCAGCACCTGGTTAACTGGTGGGTTAAATTCCATTATGTAGAGGACACTGAATTTTTCTGTGGTGTTTTAATTGACTGTGAAGGCTGCTGCTGCTGCATGAGCTATCAAGGGATGAGATTCTGGAAACAATATTTGCCTACTTATGGCAGGGCATCTTAGAAATTATGTATGGGACAAGGCAACACAAGGCTGTGTCTTGTAAGAAATTGAAGTTATTGATTTAGCAGGTAAGTTTGAAGGCCAGATTTGATCATAAAGTTGGCAGACTTGAATGCCAGCCTGGGGAAATGGGTTATTGCATTAGTGCAGTTGAGTAGAAGCACTGAGCCTGTCTAGCAGTGGCAGTGGCAGCTGAAAACAACAAGTGTATGCAGTTAGTAAGACATTTGATAGCCTGAAATTTATTAAGGGTTGAGCTTAATCCCTAGTTCAAGAGCTCCCGGTTGAAACCTTATAAGAAAAACATATCTAATAAATTAATATAATAAATTCATTTAGGAAATCCTGCTAGAATCAGATGCCTTATCACATATTGACCCCTGATAACTCGCCTCAGAAATCTCCCTTGCCTGTAATTTTTTTAAAGTCCTTAAGTATTTCTCCATTACCAGTGAAATCCTTGGTGATAAGGATGTTAATAACAACACATTGCAATGTGATTTGAACAATGAGGTAAGGGAGAATTGAGTACTAAACTTTGATTTGATTTGATTCTTAAGAATTGAAAAAGGTGTTACTCTTACTCAAACCCAGTGAACAATTGCTAATGGACCAAATCACTAACAGACTTGAGATATTAATCAGCAAAAGTGTTCCCATTCATCCCTAAATAGGTATAAAATATAGGTGCAGGCTTACATCTTACCTAGTAAAATGCAACCATAAAAGGTTATAAAATCCCATTTCCACAGCTTGTCAAAATCAAGTAAAGAATACATGCTGTAATACTGGAATAAACTTGGCACTGTTATGGCACAAAATGCTATTTAATCAGGGAAGCTAAGAAGCTCAGTGAAGAGACCTCCTGCATTTGTGAGAGCTCATTCGTTTTCATTCTGCTTGTGTTCAATACACAGCACTAGAGAAGACCAGAAAACAATTATTACAGACAAAATGAGTTTCTTTCCCAGGTTTTTCCCTTCTTTGCAAATGCCAGTGGCAAACTATTATCCTGACTACAAAAGAAATACATGATAAACACTACTGAGATGCAGTTTCCTAAAATAGTGTCATAGTTAGAAAAGAAATGGTGATAATCTGGGGACATGAGTCGCAGCCTCCATCCTCATTAAGTCATCAGGTAACTTTTTGTCAACCCATATAACCAGGAGTGATACTCAACATATTTAATGACTAGTGTAAATCTGGCCATCAGAAAAGATCTTGGCTTCCATGATGTAACAATATGAATGGATTGAACATCAAGTCTGCTTAAAAACACGAAAACAATGGATAAGCAGTTTGTCAATCTTGGTGGTATTGAGATTTGTGGAACAAAAGAACCTTGATTTTTAAGCATTAAGCTCTGCATAACAGAGTGTTTAGAGGCAACACACAGCCCATATTTTTGGCCACTACCTACTGTATGCCAGTATTGGAGTCCTTCTGTCTCTCTCAGAGAGGGAGAAGGAGGAGAGAGAGAGGGAGAGAGAGAGTGGGAGAAGATGAGGGAAAACTGAGTTATACTTATTTAGTGTATTATTGACTGCAAATCTTATTTTCCTTTTCCTTGTAATTTTTTTCTGTTCCCTTAAATCTAAGTACTTTTCTCTAACTTTAAAATAGATAATAACCTATTTTAAGAAACAAAATGAGCTAAGCATAATGGTGCATAACAGTAATCCTACCATTCTGGAAATCAAAGGCAGGAGGGTCACAAGTTTGTACCCAGCCACGTCAACTCAGTGACTTAGTGATATCTAAAAAACAAAAGGCCTGCCAGTGTAATTAAGTGTGCATGTCACTTCTGGGTTCAATCACTAGAACCACCAACCACCAAAAAGACAATAACAAAAGCCAAAATGAACTAGTATTTATTTTGTGGATCTACAAAAAGGCTAATTTAGACATTTCTGAATATCATATGCTTTATTTTTTGGAAAAGTAAGTTTTATTGACTTGGATATTGCATATTTCTATTTACCAGTCTAAGAAAGTTACAGTACTTACTCCTTACTCAGAAAATTAAAATATTATATAGATTTACACAACTTCGTATACAAACATTAATCACGTTTAATTAATTTCAATTTCACATTTAAACTTAAAATTTTACTTTTTCTGTTTATAAAAGAGTTATAAAGACATACTATAATGTAACTGTATCTGTTACATGTGTGTTTTTCATTATTAATTTATATATATGGAAATCAGTTGTAAAAAAATTGAGTATAATATATTGTTACTGAGCTGGGAATTTAACCTAGAGCCCTACATGGTCAATACATGTTTTAGCCCTGAACTACAACACTGACCCTCTGTGAAACTATTTTAATAAGTAAGCAAAAAATCATCCAGAGAATGATCTGCTATTGCCATCATAGAGACAAAACAATATTTATTGAGGCCTTACATTATTCCACAATACATTTATCCAACAAATGTGTATTGTGAGCACACAATGCTGCAGATACCTTATCCAATGCTGAGGATACAGCAAGAAAAACAACCAACCAACCAACCAACAACAAGAACAATAAACACCAAAACTCCTTGCCCTTGTTTTAACTTTCTTCTGGTGGGAACTAAATTGAAGGTAGGAAGAAAGAAAACAACAACAAACAAAATTATCAGGTTCTGACCTAGATCCCCAATCTCCCAAATGAGTGTACAGCGGAGGTTAAATAAAAAGAGACAAATTGTATGACTTTTAGGGTTCCAGGAGGGTCAAAACTCTTTAATTAAGCTTGAGACTTCCAGGGTAAAGACAAAGGATTCTCTGGATCAGTCCACTTTTATTAGAATGAAGGACAAAGGGCAGACAGACTGAGGAAGATGTAGGCAATGAGCAGGAGCTTGAGAGTCACTTCAAGGACGTCTCCAAGTAATGAATCAAGTCAATTCAGTAGCTCTGTCTTATCATGAAGACATGGTAGAAATTAAACTGCAGGAGTAATCTTTGCAGCTATAGTCTCTACCTTGTTAATTGGGGTTGGAGCCAGAGTGTCCACAGCTGTGGCCTTATCTTGCCCTTGAGGTGTATCTCTGGCCTCACAGGCCACTACGGGCCTCAGCCAGGACCAGTGAATCATAGAGGTTCACTTACTATGAATCAGCTCCCATCACCAGGCAAGGGGCCGAGGCCTAGGACAGACTCACAGACAAACATAGAAAGCCAATTAGTAAAATTTAAATCCTGCTCAGAGCTGCTTTGTAGTGGTCTCCAACACAAAGTATAATATATATTATATAAAGCTATGATAAATGCTATAGCAAAGAATACAATAGGGAAAAGGTAGTAATGATAGTGGTGGACAAAGTGTTGCCATTTTACTAAGATGGTAATAAACAGCCTCTTTGAAACACTGATATTGGAGTAATGACTTGAAGACATTGAAGCAGAATATTTAATGAGTGGATTTTACAAATAATGAACTAGCAAGTACAAATGATTTGAAGCAAACATTTTCTTGGCCTGCTCAAAGAAAGCGAAGGTGACCAACGTGGCAGAAGTGAGTCATGCAAAGGAGAGAGCGGTGTGAACGGGAAGCTCCAGGTCCTTCAGTGTCTTGGAGACTTTGCTTGAAAGAGTTCTTCCTTGAATGAGATTAGAAGTTCACAGAGGCATTGGTGCAGAGAGGGTGCCGTCTGCTTTAATGTTTAGAAGAGATCTTTCATGTAGGGAGTAGTGGAGCAAGACCAGACCAGCTGATAAGCTCAACTTTACAACTTCCCCAATTCACTGATAAGGCTGATAAATTAACTTCCCTAAAGAAAAAGAACGTAAGTGGGAGAAGTGCAGTATTCATAGTAAGGGTTTATTTCTCACCTAAAAAAACAAAAGGCATATAAACTCTACTAGCTATGAGCCATGGGCACTTCAGTTATCAAAGGAGAGGAATGGAAATCTCTTCTTACTAACATTCCAAAGAGAGAAGCAGACACAAACCATGTGTCATGGTTTATGTCCGTGTCCCCCAGGCCTCATGAGTTTGAATTGTGCGTTTGTTATTCGTTCATTGTCTAGTGCTTGGATTAATGGTTTCAGTGCTCCACCCACAAAGGGGTGGAGCCAGGATGTGATATAATGGCAGGAAGAAGGTGTGTCTTGCTCTTTGCTAGTTCGAGCTTACTGTTTGTAGCTGCCATGAACTGCAGGCCAGCCATGCCCGCCTGTTTTGGAGCCAACTAGGTGTGGACTGAAACCTCCAAAAACTGTAAGAAATAAACCTTTCCTTTCCCAACTTGGGCATCAGGTATTTTGTCTCAGCGACGAGCATAAAGTAACTAAGACACCATGATTCCTGATCATTTCAGATTCATCCATAAGATAATGTAGAGTTTTTAGCTTTGTCTTATACTTCCACTTCAAGTGTCCTGCTCAAATCTCATATTTAACTGAATAGCTTAATGTAAATATTCTAATTAAAGGACACAGAATAACTGAATGAAAATCATGTAAGTCTATTTCTATGAAGCAAATTTATAGTGAGCCTGGTTGGTGTGAATGGCAGGCCACATTCCAAATTTCAATATCTTACCAGGAATAACTTCATCCAAGCTTTAAACATGTTAGTAAATATCTTCTCAGAAACTCAAATTTAGAAAAGAATGACACCTCTTAATCACTTACTTGAATTTTTTGTAACCTAAAAGGTTTCACTTTTGCTTTATGGAGCTATTAAAAATAAAGGCTAAATTATTATAGCAGAAGGTATGTCCCCTTTTCAAATGTTGTTTATGAATTGTATATTTCAACATCAATTTTACTGAATTTCTTCCAGCTGTGTGAGTCTATGATTCTCTTGTATGTTTACTGGTTAGAAAAGGTCATCTAGAATATGCCAGACTTAACACTTATCTTTAGAATGATGAAATTTATTCAATCTCATAATCACGGACTCTGCATCCTGGCATTATTTAGGATATGAATAGAGCTGCTATAATACTAGTCAATGGGTTTAATAGAAGCTTATTTCTCTTTCATAGACCTTCAGATGTGAGTCATCCAAAGCCAGCGCCCTTCCAACCTTGATGCATGGCTCTGGGGTTTTCTCCAGCCTTTGCAATTCCCTGGAGAGGTGAGAAACAGCAAATAGGATGCAAGAGTGAGCAAAAGTCGTACATATCACCACTTTCATCTTACTGTCCTAACATTTTGTCTGTGTTCACACAAAGCCACAAGGGTGGTGGGAGATGTAGTTATCAGCTTGGGCAACTAAGATCCAAGCTAAAATATAAGAAAGTTCTTAAATTGTTTTTCTTTCCTACTGGTAGGATATTGGGGCATGACTAGCAGTTTTTGCCACAACTTTAGAGGAAGCAAGGTAGCAAAAATCATAGCACTAATACTATCAGTAGTAAAATGACAATTTATTAATGGATTTAAGCAGTATCACATTGTCATGGGAGATCTATTTCAAAGCTCATCCATTATTCTAAGTCAGTAGATTTGGCTTTATAAATGAAATACCATATGCTGTCAAAATTTTAAAAACTTCCAAAAAATTCAGAGATAAATTTCTGGCAGTGCTCTCCGGTTTCTTAAAACAAGTCTTTAAGCTTTTTTCTTACACACTACACATTTCAATATCAGCATTTTGATGGTGTGCAAAAAGAAACACTCATAGCAGTGTTGTGCAAGTCAGCAATAGTGGTGACAGAATCATTACAAGAGTTACAGCATCTTACCAAGGCTATAAAAACATACCCAGATATGATACCAATTTCTGGGCTGACCTTTGAGTTCTCCTTTATATTGAATCTAATTATTTTCTGCCTGGATATTTCTTCCTTATATGTTTTAGTGTACCCTGGAGTAAATTCTTGACATTTCTTGACATTTCACTATGTCTCAACTTGCAGTGAGTTTAATTCCACTACTTGCCATATGTTCTAGAGTCAACATTTTACTTCATAGAATAAGTTACTAAACATTATGTAAGCTCAGCGCAGGAAAAAATAAGGGTTTGATGTGGAATCCCAAGGCCAGCCTGTGAAGCGTTCATGGCACACAGGGTGGAGACATGTCATAACAGTACGGCAAGACACTGGAACCACTCTTGAATAGCTAACCTGAAATGGTTCTTTCAGTGATGTTTCCTTTAATACTGATGTTGTTTTGGAAAAGCAAAGAAATTTGTAACATTATCAAGTCAAATGGCTTGCTCTGCACGTTAACTTATAACATAAGCAAGAAGGTCATGCAGAAAGACATGAGCATTTTGCTGGGTAGATCTTTACAGGTTAGTACTCCACATACGTGGACTACAGATATTATTAGTTTTTAAAACTATCCAAAAAGAAAGAGATTTGGGAGTATAACAAAACAAAGTAAAAGTTAAGTCAAGAAGAAAGTGCCAAGGCCCAAAGATAAAAGAAGAGCTTTTACAAGTTCCATGAAAAAGTGGGCGATTGTTTTTACTAAAATGGGGTGATTTTACTCCAGGACTAAAATTAGAAAATTCATTCAGAACATACTCTAATGACAAGCTTGCTATTTTTCTCCCATGATTCTTTGGAAGACTGAAATTCTTTGTTGACTTGTAAAAAAAAAATCAGAAGGTCTTGAGTTATCCCTGGCCACAACTGTTTCACATGGTTGATAAAAGACACTGCTACACCAAAGGCTCTGCTTTCTTATTTATAAACTGTTGTAAATATGATAGAGCTGCTTTACAAACTGTTAAACATATGTAACTGTGAGTTCTAAAGAATATGAAGTGTTTCCTCACTGAAATGCATTTTACATTGCTAAATAGTTAAACTCATCATACAGAAGTATGCAGCAGGTAAATTTTTCTTTAAATTCAAATTCTTTCTTTGTTTTCATTTTTCTCTTCCATAGCCACTTCTCCCACATGTCTGTCTGATGTCCCATTTTTGCTAACTGTAGCTAGAGCCTGAGAAGACTTGGTGTCTGTGCCTTTCCTCTTCCCTGGAATTCCTCGGGTAGGAAATACACATAAGACTTGTTCACTAACACGTGTGTCTAGGCAAAGTGGAAATGAAATATGGCAAAGTGATTTATAATTCTTACAAGTGACATTAATTGAATATCAGTATTACAGAAGTATTATTGCATTAGGTTTGTGTGTAATGTATATATACACATGTAATGTATTACTATATGTATGGTATTTTATATATTTAATTTATACATAATTTTGAAAAGCATGGAGTAATTTATTGTCTCAAATTAATTTTTAAATCTTAAGCATATAGCAGCTAAGTGCCTAGTATAAACAGGTCTGAATGAAAAACTATATCACTAATTTTTAAAAAATTATTTACAATCATTAGGTTTGCTATATGATTGTGGAGTTTTAACTCTGAATTCAATGAGCTGTTCTTAAATGTAAATAGTTGGTCTCAGTTCATAGTTCCTGCTGAATTTATAGTAGCAGAAACAATTTGGTTGTATACCATATGGAATAAAATGTAAACACAATTTATTCACTGATCTCACACTGTTCATAGTTTCCTGAGAGATGAAATCATGTAAAAATCCACAATGAAAGAGAAACTCTGATTTAAAGAAAAATCAAACAGTACTAAAGAAGGAAAAAGTAATTTTTAATATGGAACTGATTTTTAAAATAACTTCTGGAAGCTACAAAATTTATGAATAGAACTGGATCCTAAAAAGAAACTCACCACAAGAATCAAGAAATTAACACTTCACTAGGTTTAAGTAAAACTTGCATCATTTTTCTTTGACCTTGCCACCAAGTGAAATCATATCTGTATTTTAAATCAAAGCATTGAAGTTATTGCAAGAAGATATGATGAGCAACCATAGCTCTTAAGGAATTTAAATGCTTATTGGTTAGATAATATAAATAAAATCAAAGGTGTACGTTGCACTTAGAGACAATACAGAGAAAAGTTCCATTATGAAAGATTATTAATTGCTGGATATGCTCAGATGGCAGCTGTAGAAGTGTTCACATCAGCTGGAGTGTCCAGAAGACATGCATAGAGGAGTTGCAATTAAAGTTGGCAGAGAGGTATGGACAGCATTTGCAGAGTTAATCAGGAGGAGGGCATCATAGATAGAAAAACAAAAGGCTATCTGAGAGCTGGTCTTGTCTGTAGTGCCCTTCTTTCTGTATTTGTCTGTTTGTGCTAGGGATGGACCCTCTGTCTTACACATACTGAGCACAAGATCTGCCCCTGAACTATACTACCAAACCCACCTTCTTATCTAACTGAACATTCCCCAAATCTCTCTCAGAAGTCACCTCCTCTGTGAAGTTTTTCCTATACCCCTCTGTCCTTCAAATGCTTAGTCCCAAATACATACACACACACAAAGGCATTTCCACACTAGTGTTTCTTCTCTCTGCACTCTCATGTATACTTATATATATTGCATTATAATATAAGTCATTTCTCCTACTTTCTGAGAATTCCAGAAGAATTCCCAAAGAAAGCTTGGTTTATTAATTTTTATGTCTCGAGGCCTGTCATAGCACCTAGTACATTGCATAATATCTTAACAGTCTTCTAGAGGAAAATAAGGGTGACAAATGTGGCAGAGTAAATTGAAATGAGTTTGAAGACAACAAAGCCACAAATACAAGAACTGTGCCCTTTGAATTATAGACAATAAACATATTTTACCTTTTAAAATTGGTAAGTGGTCTCAAAAACTATTGATTTCCAAATACACTTTCCCAAGCACTGTCAGCGTCTGATCCAGATGTTTCCACTAACCATAAGAGCTGATACTTTTAGTTTATGGCCTCTACTGTCTCTTCTTTAGGAATCAAGAACTACCATCTGAGTCTAATTCTAGAGGACCCAGAGAGTAAACTTAATACACTTTGCAACAAATTTAGTCGTGCTTTTTTCTTCTAGACTTCGTGAAGATCTCCAGCTCACAAGACGGAGAGAAATATGCTGAGTCCTGCTGCTGGTGGAGTCATCTGGGAGATCTACACTTCCCAGTTCTCCATGGCAACTCAATCAGGTCAAACTGTGCTCTCCCAGTGAGACCCTGAGCCCACACTGAGCACCTAGGGCCTCGAAGGAGGAGTTTCCTCTCTTTAAATCTGTGTGAGACAATTGTCACTCAGATGCTCAGGTGAAACTGCCTGTGATTTAAATACCACAGCCCCTAGCAGCTGCTTCCCACAGACCTGCTGTCTTAGACTGTTAAGTGAGCACTCTCCATATCTCCCCTTCAACTAGACTTCTCCTTCACCTGAAATCTCACAGTAGGTATGCAGTTATGTTTCCAGTAATTCCTGGTCTTTTTTCAACCAACTTCTGTTCCAAAGACATCATATAAGCATCTTCTAGTCAGGTCTTGAGTCTAAAAGGCCCATACATCCAACATCCTTGTTGGCTTATTCCAGAGACTCTGCTGAGGAACGTTATCTGGACAATAGTGTGCAGGTGGGATGGAACAAAGGATAGATGTGGAAAAACCTATCAGAAGTTCATCATGTATCTGCGGAGATAGCTCAGCAGCAAAGCACCTGCCTGGCAAGCAGAAGGTCATGAGCCCCATCCCTGGTACTAAAAATTAAAACATAAAAAAGTTCATCATGTAGGAATACAGAAGATCTAAAACTGCAGTTGCTATGTTCATATAGAGAAAAAAAATGTAGATGGGAAAGATGAGTGGAATTGAAAATGATTACAGGTATGAATGAGAAAGGACCGAATACACTGCTGAGAAAATGGTAGGGATATTATTACAAAGCAGAGGAGCAGGGTAAGAATTATTGTGATAGTCAAGTCAATTAAATTTTAGATTTGTTGAATTTGGGGTACTGGTAACATTCCAGTGAAAATTCTCAGCAGGAAATTAAGAAGACTCGTACATTGGAGAGGACATAGAAGTTAGTGTTTGACTTGTTCAGTAATTTTACAAATTTGTTTTGATGTTTGGAAAGGGAATAGGATTCTCTAGAGGGAAGGCAGGGAAAAGAAGAATAGAAAGGTAAAATCATCTAGATTCCATCGTGTTTCTAAAAGGGCTCACACTTTGCTGACCCTATATCTTTGTATGCTCAGTAATATTCTGTAAGTATGATATAGTGCTTTTTCCTCCATGACACAGGTACCAGTGTATGAGCATAATGCTAATTAATAGAAAAACACAATTGTTACTTGATTCTCAATTTATAAACTAAGAACACAATTTTATTCAGCATGCATCCTATTCTACGTGTAGCATAAAGACTAATAATTCTGCCTCTAGATTTTGTCTCAGAGTTAGATGTTTGTGATTCTCGTGGATTCATAGCCCAAATATAGAAAATATTAACTTTCCTAAATCCACATACATGAAAGTATTCTCCCATATTCAGAACCAGCAAGAGAAAATTATCCTTGAATTTCCAATATCTCGCAAGGTGCCTGGCACAATAAATATTTATTGACCACTGAATGAATTAGAAAAAAATCTATGCAATTCCTGAGTGAGAAAATTCAAACAAGATCTAGAAAAGCTGTAAAGGAAATTTACCATATGGTGCTGTTTAGAAAACATGATGTAGTTTTTCAGTTTGAATTTTAAAAACTGTACCTTTAACATAGATTTTTAAAGCTTCAAAACTCAAATAGCATGTTTATTTCCAAAAATGAAACTGCAAACATCTGGTAGCAAGATGCAAACTCCTGCCCTTGGAGATTATTCCTTATTTTAAGATTTGTCCTCTGGTGTTGCCATGACTACTGACCATGCACTGAAATCTCTGTGTAATACGTTCTATCTCCCACAGTGATTGTATCTGAGACCAGCAGTAAATTTCTAGTAATTAGAGGAGACAGCCTCAAACGTAGACTTGACAGAATCTTCACTGTGTTAAAATCTTCTCTAGGGGTTTAGGCTACTGGTTGTTGATTCAAATGGCTAATTAGTGTGGACAGAATAATTAAATATGGAACTGGAAATCTGGTGGAAGAAAGATATTTTTGTCACGTTCAACTTTATCAAATCATGTCAAAAGGAAACAGACAGAAAACCCAATTCCACATAATTGTAATTGGAAGAGAATAAGTTATGTGCTTAGTGGGTAAATGCTTGTTTTTGGAGAGAACCAAAGTTAGTGAACTGTGACACTAATTCTGAGGTGGACAGAAAGAGGTAACATTTAATATTCCAAAAAGTAAAGGGGATCCAGTCTGGCACATTCAAATCTCTAACACCTAATACCATACAAAATAATTTACTCTTTCATTAGTACTAAGGTGATTTACATTATTTTTACATAAGATAACAAAACCATGTGAGTCATGTAAAATAAAGTTAATGTTTCTTTTAGTAGCATAGGGTCTCACCTAACTGCATTCTAGCTGGAGGCAGATAGATGGCTGTCTTTTCCTAGTGTGATTCAGACTCACAAAAAAGGGAAATACTTTTGGAATAGTGTCTCCTGAATTTTTTGGTATAGACAGGAGTCATGTAATTTTTAAAAACTGGAGCTGAAAACCAGATTAATTAAGGTAATTTATGTCTTTTGCTTCCAAAAATTCTGCATTCCGATGTCAGTATTTTAGCAAAGTAGCTTAAAGGAGTATAATTCTAACATTGCCGCCACTGAAAAGCCGATTTTATATTATTTCTTTTCAAATAGAGTATTTATATTGAGGGTGGAATATGGATTCCAGAGAAGTGAAACTGGACCTTTGCAAATGTCAGGATATATATTGTTCCCAGCAGATGTAAGAAGAGCAAGCAATGGAAAGGAAAACGTATAACCAGGCTGGATCTCATGAAGGGCTCTTTGCACATAGACTAATTACATTTGATTAATCTAAAGTCAAACTCGAGATCAAGAAATGTCTTTTCATGCCCTTTTTTACCCTTTAAATATTAATTCCTGTCTCTTATACTTTTCTGGCTGAGTCTGTGCCTGTGTGTGTGTGTGTGTGTGTGTGTGTGTGTGTGTGTGTGTGTATAGGAGGCTGTATTCCCAGAAGAAAATTTTTGTAAACAAGTGGTGAGAAGATTTCACCTTGCCAACATACAAGCTACATATAAAGAGAAAATCTAAAGGAGTCCCCAAAACTATGCAGACACCCCAAACATAACATAACTCACTTATCAGAACCAACATACTATTTTCAACACTACAGTCAAATAAAATGTCTTCATCCTTGATTGTCACCTTTGGTATAAGTCAATTGAAAAGCTTTGCTCTTATGGCCAAAAAGAATAATGATTAAATTTTGTATGTAAAATTATTATCAAACATAAAATTTTCTACCATGTCTCCTTTGAGTAAAGTGCTGTTCTGAACCCTGAGTCACCCTGTGGTGGTAGAGACCTCCATGTCTGTAGTTAGAAAAATAAACTCAGAGAATCTCTGCTTGATAATGAGGAAATGGGACCTGAAGAAGACAATATTGCTACAGTTAGAGTGATTATTTTATCACCTTTAAGTTAAAATATTTTAATTGAAATAGTGAACTCAGGTTTCCATAGTGATATAAAATACTACCTAGTTAATTTAACTCAGTATTGTAAGATAAAAGAAAAATTCTCACTTACTTTGTGCATCTTAGGCCATCATGGCCTTAAGGCAAATTAGTAGTCTATATTTTTCAGTGAAAGCAAGAACTAATAAGTTTAGAGACAATTAAAGCTTTGCTTGAGCTAGGACTTTTGTCAATTTGAGTGGAAAAGCAAGCTATTACTGGCATTGATTAGAGAAACACAAAGGGATTCTAGTATATGACTTTTCCATGATCTTTCTCCACATTGACTGGGAATAGAAGGATATTTGGTCATGTATAGATGACAAAAGCAGTCATATAATAATAAACCATAGCAAAAACCTTAAATATTAAAACTAATAATTTTTAGTAGATAAGGGAATGTCACTTTATGTAGTTAAAAATACACAACAAAGCCTTATTTTCACAAGACAAGACCAAACAGAAACCCATCCTTAGAAGCCAGTTCAGTTCTATAAAGAATCATCAATCTTTTTCTTTGGTCTTCTAAAGTAAAGGAGAAAAAAGGACAATTTGGGTAACCCAACATGATTTTCACTATATGATTGATTTATCTTCATATTTATTTCCTAACATGTGTTTTGGCTAATATTTGCTTAAAAATTAAAAGGAAGTACTGAAGCAAAAAAGCTGTTTCTACATAGGCAAATCCTTGGAGAATTGCAAAATTATATTCATAGCTCATAAGCAAGCATTAAAAGATATGCAAATGATTAAGGATCATATAAAACCAAGAAGAGTATACAAAATATTAACACTTGAAAATTATTTTTTAAGAATTTTACCATGCGTGAAGTAACATGACATTCCAAGAGCACTGTAATTCTAAAATTAACAAGCATGCTTAAAATGTGCATAGAAATGAAATTTAAGGAGAAGAATTAAAACTAGGAAAATGCTTAAAGAAATTATAATTATATGTCAACAAATAGTAGAGGTTATGAAATTATTATTTCTGAAAACTTACTTCTCCAAGAGATGAGTCAAGTCAGAGAGAACAAAGCTATCAAAATTGTCAAAGCAAAAACATTGCAATTAATACAGTAGTTTACTTTCATAAAGTTTTTCTCTGTACTTGAATAAGGATATGTGGCCTTTCAAGGTAGTCATTCTTGAGAGTTAATATTTTTAAAATGTCCTTCAGATATTAAAAAGGAGAATTTAAATATATAGGCAGTATTTTGTCAAGTAAGAAAATAGGCAATATATTTAAGGGAAAGCAAATATATCTAGCATGTTAAGTATGAAGAATCTGAACTGTTGACATGTCATCCAGGAGGACTAAGAAAAGAAGCCCAGTTTAAAATGTAATAGATACGTAGTGAGTGATAAAGATCTGTATAATCACAGTTTTCTAAACAAAGGTTGAAAGTCATAGAAAATGTTGGTGCAGTAGGACAGAATGACAAGGTAGAAAAAACTTATTTTTTCTTTCAAATGGGTATGCTTTAATTATTTCATTATATGAGTCAATGAGTGCATTTTATTTAGAAGTATTGGGATCTTATAGCAAAGTACATAAGAAAGTTTTAATATAAAATAAAAATAAAATTTTAACAAATTTCTAAACAAATGTCCCAAGTTATTTAAGGATTTAAGATCATAGCAAAATTAATAAGAATAATAGTAAAATTTGACTATCTTTCAACAAAATAAATATTCTGCTCTTAGAAATACATCTTTGTCTCTTCATATTTCAGATTTAAGAGCATATTAAAACTGGGTGTATTGGTGCCTGCCTTTAATCCAGC